CCCCCCCCTCCCCGTTTCCAAATGCAAAGGAAAGACAAAAGGGATTTGGAAAGGTTATAACTGTCAACTTAATCTCCCCCTCCGCATTTCCTGCCGATGGTACAGTCCTCATAATTTCTAATAGCAACAAGCAGGGAATGACAGATGCCTTGGCTGGGGCGCGCTGCAGCGAAAGTACTTTGCAATGTTTATGGATGGTTAGAAAAGGTGACCCATCGCCATAAAGAAGACTCTTCCGGTACAGATAGAGTGTGTGGGGGGGTGTTTGTGTGTGAGAGACGATTTATGGCCAGTTTGCAAACTGGGAAGGTGGGAAGCAAACACTCTTTCTAACTACTGAAAAATCAGGCGGTAGTCTGTCTATTCCGTTCAGAGTTTTTTGAAAAAGTTAGTTCTTGGACTACAGCTCCCAGAATCCACCAGTTCTGGGATTTTAGCCTTTGCATCCCCCAAAAAAGTAACTTTTCCCAACTCTGCATCCCGCACTTACGATTTTTAACAAAGATTGCCGACATTCTGGAATGGCCACGTCAGTCTGAAACATATTATGCAAACTTTGTCCAAGCGAAAGTAAAAACTTTCACTTTTTGTCTTGTATTGTACCAGCACCAGGCAAATCTTAATTTTCTTCACACAGACACAGACACAGACACAGACACAGACAGACAGACAGACAGACAGACAGACAGACACACACACACACACACACACACACACACAGAGAACTCTCTTCTTTCCAGCCACTAAATAAGGAGATACTGTAGCTCTGTAACTTTCAATTGATTGCTTGAAGAATTCCATTGTGCTTTCAAATCCAGAGGGAGGTGAGGAGGGAAGGAGGGAGGGAGAAGTCGATCTGTTCCACAGGGCCCAATCCACTAGGATGCTCCCCCTTACCCAAAAAAATCCCCACTGACATAATCAAGAGTTGTAGAACAGTATGGGTCATTTCAATGTGTTTCATACAAGTAGGGGAATTTCCTTGTGTATTGAGCCTTTAACGTTTTGATTTCCTATCTCAAGGACCCCAAAAGTTTCATGAAGGCATAAGGAACTGGTTTTCTCCTATATGGTTCCCTTTAGGTGTATTGGATTACAACACCGAACCCTGGGAGTCGGCCTCCTTGACTTGGAAGGATGGAAATTATAATCAGTACCACGGGAGGGAACTCGTTTGGGGAAGGGAACACAGTTTTCATTTCCAAGAAACACAACACAGATTTGTGTGTGTGTGTGTGTAAATTAAATATGAATCTGATGCAATCCTTTCAGATCCAGTTGAAGCACCAACTAGCCTTGATCTTAGCATTGTGTGGAAGAAGAGCCAATATAATCTTTTCATCAGAAGGGTGCCTTGGAGTAAACGTCCTGGTGAGACTCATTGAAAATCAACCATTGTATGGATGTTGTTGTGAGCTTATTGTGGCTGGTTTCTAAACAATTTCAGAATGTCTTTGTTTAGCAATTTATACAGTGCACAGTCTGGAGGAAGGATGTGTTCTTGGACTTAGACTTTCGGAGAACTGGGCTTTAAGTCCCTTTTCTGCCATAGTTTGGCCTTTGGCTGGCCATTGATTAACTATCCAGTCTCTAGATACAGATTAATAATGATGGTGAATTAGCACAGAGCGTTGTTGTAATGAAAAAGCAAAGTTAAGACCAGAGGACTGCTTTCAAAACAATGGTCGCAATACAGTTTTACAGCAATGAATCAGAGTTTGGGCTTTTCAATCACCAGTTCAGAGACAATTTGATGAAGGCCTTATTTTCACCATGCAGGCTGGTGACTCTAGAGTTAGATGGACAGTGATTCCATGCCAGGTCTTAACATGGGAATGGACTACGGGTTTGTATGCCATGGGGGCATAGATGGCTCACCAATGCTGTTTTGTTTCTCCCACCATGCCCAGTTCCCTCTTTTCCCTATATATTTTCTTTAATCATAACCTTCTCCACAAAACATCCACAGTAAGTAAGGGTGTGTGCACAGTTCCATTTGCTATGGAAATAGATTTCTAGCCATCTACTATGCTATAAAAACAATTTTTGGGGGTGGTTGTAGTCCCCAAAAAAATCATAGTCAATGGGCCTCCAGGTCTTCCAAAATGACCCATTCCTGGGTGCAGTGCAGTGATTCAGATGGAAATGTAATCCCAAACAAAACACCAAAGGAAATAAAGCAGCTCATGTACAGCACAGGTACCGTAATAACCATGGAACTTGGTTACAAGATGAAAAAAAAAAACAACCCAGAAAATCGCTGGGCAAATTTCCATTTGTATATATCAAATGGAAAATTCAGCAGGACAATGAATGAATGAATGAATGAATGACTAACTAACTAACTAAATAGTGTGCAAACATTAGCAACTTAAAACACCAAAAAGATTCAAAACTTTAAAATTAAAAAGTAGAAGCCAGACTATGCAAACTATATCACCTAGAATGGAAAACAATTGTTGAAACTATGGAAAAATTAAAACAATGGGTAACAGCTAACAACAAAGAAGACTGAAAAATAGGATGGATGCTTGAAACAATATAGACAAAACATGCAATTTCAAAATAACCAACGGTTATTCTATAAACCACTAGGAGAAAATGCAGAGCAGAAGAAATTAGGCTCATGTAAAGGTGATGCTCTAAACTTTTGGAAATAAATTTGAGAAAGCCCAAAGAGGACATAACAAAAAAGCCTCGCGGGTTATAGACATTTGTAAAGAAACTCAAGGAAAACATATGGGTGGTCTTGTAATAATAACTGAAATCATTAGGAGGCAAGTAAAGGCTGTGAAAAACTAGAGTGCACCTGGTCCAAATGAGCTGCACAGATTTTGGCAAAAGCATTTAACAAGTCCCCATCAACGTATAGCAGTACAAATTAATCACTTGCTTCAAAATTCTGCAACTGAAGATTGTATGACAACAGGCCACACATTTCTGATAATAAAAGATTAAAAGGGCAATGAACCCAGTAATTATATAGACCAATTATATGCCTTCCAACAAAGTACAAGCTCCTCATAGGAGTACTTTCAAAATCAATATATTATTATTTGATTGAAAACTCTCTATACTTAACTGAACAGAAAGGGAATTTTAAAAAGTCAAAAGGCACAAAAATTGAAATCTTCCTTCTTGTGATTTGGGCCCATTAATTTTTATTCTTCCTGTTGGAGTGACAGAAAACAAGAGTGGTTCATCATCTATGTGACAGTCCTTCCCGTATTTAATGATGTTGTTGTTGATGATGATGATGATAAAGAAACTGAAGGCTTGATTTCTGCTGCACAAGAACAAGTACTCCAAACCAACGTGATGAAAGCTAAGAGCCAAGAAAAAGATAAAACTTGCTTACAGCAAATGTCAACTCTGCCAAGAAAAAGATAAAACTATGTTACACTTCATCTGCAAATGTTCAAAGATTGCACAAACATTACAAAATTACACATGATAGGGGGGGCAAAATTAGTGCTCTGGTCATTATGCAAAAAATATAACTTGCCAACCTCCAAAAACCCATGGGAACCTCAGGTAGAGAAGGTGTCAGAAAATGACAAAGTCAAGATCTTGTGGGATTTCCAGATCCAAACAGACAGACACCTTGAACATAACACCCCAGACACAGTAGTAATAGAACAAAGAAATGTTTGGATCATTGACCTTGCAATTCCAAGCGATGCCTGAGTTGAAAATAAAGAATTGGAAAAACTAACAAAATACAGAGATCTGGCAATCAAAACATCTCACTTGTCCATGAAACACACTTCAGGGGTCCTCGTAGTCACTGGGGCTTTGGGAACTATATCAAGAAACTTCACACAGTATTATAAGCAGTTGCCGATCTCAGAAATAACACCACCAGAGCTACAAAAAACCCGTAGTATTAGGAACAGCATACATACTGCGCTGATATTTAACAGATATTTAGGATTTTTGGTTAAAATTTGTTCCTGTTATTTGAGCTTTGAAGCTCAGTGTTTACACTTTTTAATAATTATACTTTTGTTTCATTAAATGCATCATCAACATAGAACTGCAGAACTGGAAGGATCATCAAATCCAGCCCCTGTCAAGAAGCCACACTTGGGAATCAAACTCCCAACTTCTGCAGCCAGATGCCTAAACCACCGAGCTGTCCGAGGACCATCCTTCCTTCCTCTCCCTAGAGAATGTGATCAGTGTGGTAGAATCATCTGGAGCACCTGAGCACACATATGGACCTCACTTACGTTGGAGTGAGACTCTCCACCTATCTAACCCACAATTCTCATTTCCAGCGACCTCAGTTGCTTTTAAGTGAAGATGCAGAGAACTCGCTCCATGCAAAGGATGTTCTCTCTTGCAGACCTGCAGTCTCTGCTGAAAAGAAAAGGCACCCTATAACCCAGGTAGGACTTATCAGGCGTGTAGTGTTTCTGTGCTTCCTGCATGCAGACTCCAAACACCCCCTAATTTCCCTTTTATTTCCCATGAACTTTTACATCTATGATTGGATGGCTGTAATTATAATTTTTGGGTGCAGA